TTGGTATGAAGAGTCATGGTATAAAGTTTCAAAAGTCATAGGGACGTTCCCCTTAAGCTTCCCACCTAGAAGACGTGGACACCCCCCCCTCTCAAAAAACAGATCTATATGATATTGGTAGGTAGAGTCATTAGTATGAAGTTTTAGGAGTCAATAACTTCACCCCCACTCCCCCCTCACACAAAAACACACGAAATATGTTCTTCTTGCTCGTCATGTCGATGAAATATCTCGATTGGAAATCGTTGTGACATGGGGTGGAAAACATTTCTGGATCCGTGCCTGATATGCAAATAAACTTCGCAATAAGACATTTAATTTTAGTTTCTTAATATTATCTGAAAACACATATTAATTCCTTTTAAGTATTTATTGCCCTAGCTGAGCAAACATTAAGATAAGAATCAAATAAAGGAACTAGAATGAATTCCTCATCCCTTTTCCACCCAACGCATTTACTTCAATAAACTGCTCTTATTTATGTCATTTATTTTAGGAATGATTCTAATTCTTGGCCATATTATCGAGTATAATCTGTTTTGGGTCAGTTTACGCTTTGTAAACAGTTTTAAAAAAACGTAAACTGACCTACACCAGATTATAGTCGATAATATGGCCAAGAATTAGAGTCATTCCTTATAATTTAAAATCATTATGCTCTTAAACATTTTTGGATGTAAAATTGTGTTTCATTTTATAAGTTCAAATTTACCGCGTCCAATCATACAAACGTAGTAACGGAAGTGATTTGAAGCGAGTGAGGGTGTGTGTGTGTGTGTGTGTATGCAAACTGATACATAGAACTAGCAGTCATGATGTTTGTTTACAAGAGGTAAGAACCAGTAACTGTTTAAGTTTAAGGTACATTTATTAAATCTGGAATTTTCCATGAATCCGGAGGACTGGAAACGAGGGGATTGCATGGATAAGATGATTAAGCTGCTCGTCAAGGGGTCGTCAAACCAGATTATACAAAATAATTTGCGTTCCTTTTTGGAAATCAACCAATGAAAGGCGAGAGTACAAATAAAATTAAAATTTTCTAAAATATATATTCAAATCATACTTTATAACGTCAAGTTTTCAAAATCAAGCAAATCGAACAAACATAATGTTTTCAAACTTTTTTTATTTTATTACATTTTGCGTTGCTTTCATCGTAAAAAATGGAATAACGCAAAATGTAACAACTAAAACATACATTATTACATTTTGCGTTGATATCAACGCAAAATGTAATAACGCAAAATGTAATAATCTAAAAACTGAATTATTACATTTTGCGTTATTACATTTTGCGTTGATTTCGACGCAAAATGTAATAACGCAAAATGTAATAATCCCAATTTATTACATTTCGCGTTGTTATTATATTTCGCGTTGTAACACCGGGTATTCCATTAAAAAGTTAAAAGGCAAAAACAAAAAAAAAGTTATTTGCATAGAAAGATTGGTGGGGGGCAAACCATGTCTGTAAACATTTAAAGGGTACATTCAAAACAATGGTCATGTCAAATTTGTAATAATTAATAGAGCACATCAGAACAAATTTGACATGAACATTGTTTTAAATGTACCCTTAATATCAAAATATATTCCTTTTCGTCACAAAATTAGAAAGATTCACAGATATACTAGTAAGTTACAAATGTATATTAAAACTGCATTAGTTTTTCATTTATTCTATCAATTAAATTTGTCAAGATATGTTACCTGCAACATTAAACAGAACAAGTACAAATGATTAATCTAAAAATAAGTGTACAAAAGATCTTAATCTCGAATTAAATTATGCACACTTTAAGTACAGTACTAATCCTATGTAAATAATTTACCTAATACTAACACTATGAATAGTATAAGTAAAGTAATTACCTAAAACTAAATCCGTGTACAATATTCACCTAGTACTAACTCTGCGTACAGTATTTACCTAGTACTAACTATGTGTACAGTATTTACCTAGTACTAATTCTGTGTACAATACTTACGTAGTACTAACTCTGTGTACAGTATTTACCTAGTACTTACTTTGTGTACAGTATTTACCTAGTACTAACTCTGTGTAAAGTATTTACCTAGTACTAACACTGTGTACAGTATTTACCTACTACTATCTCTGTACAGTACCTAATATCAAATCAGTGTACAGCATGTATTAACTTAGTACTATCTTTATGTACAGTATTTACCCAATATTAACTCAGTGTACAGTATTTACGTTGGAGTCTAGGGCTCACTCTGTGTAGAGTAGAAATACAACCTTGTTTACCAGGGGAAAAGACTAAGAGGCTTACGATGTATTGCATTTCATAAATGTCATAGCCACAATTCTTTGCTACACTTTTTCTCCATTAACGTTATAAGTGATTTTTGGAGTGGGGGCAGTTTTTTAAATATATATATTTACATTTGCAAATGTTTTCCTTTATATAACACTACTGAAAGGAATGCGTATCTATAACTGTATAAATACAGGTACGGGGTCAAGAGGTCATAGATGTGTGTTAGGATAATCGTTTGACGTAATTTCTCAGTGACGTCATAAAGGGTCGACGCGTGTTCAGTAGACTACAAACTTGCCGTTGAGTTTGAAAAATAATGCATTTCACACGTTAAAAGTCACAATCAGGCAAATTGAAAGTATGAATAAGTCACAAATGTAATTATTATACCTCTATTGAAAATACTCGAATTTGATTGGCTGGTAAGAAAACTTTAAGACACAACAATGACTCCAAATGGTACTGTTTACAGCAATATAGACCTAGGAATCATTGCACGTGGGAAATAATGACCCAGTCATTATTTTTAATGACCGCTAAAAATGACCGCTTACTCAAAAATTCGATTTTGAGTAAAGTTAATGCATAAAATAAAAATTATTCGAAAAAAAACATGTTTTTAAAATTGTGCATGGTCTGTTTTGCATTACCATACAGAATACGGTAAAATTTTATCGTTACAATATTATGAATATATCGTTTCAATATATCGTTACAATTCAGTTCAATAGAAAGTAGAGGCGGCTGTTTAAAGTGTTGAATTCTGTGTTAGATTTTGACTGTGTAGAGGAAAAGTAATCGTTAGCTAAAACAATGTATGTCGCTTTCAACTAAATATTGTTTTAATCAGTAAATCATGATGCAAAAACTTACACGACTTGCAGACGTCAATGTAAACAACTTCGCTATCCGGTCTGTAGCGAATCCCGATCCCGATCAAAGAAAGAATTGATAACGGTTAGAATTTCATACTTTTCAATATATATCGGTATAATAAAACAATTAATTACCCCTTGTGAGTTCAACATGGTGAAATAAGGACCCTCGACCTGGCCCACTCGATGACCTGCCCTGACCTCGGCCGCTACGCGGCCTCGGTCAGGTCAGGTCACCTCGTGGGCCAGGTCTCGGGTCCTTATTTCACCATGTTGACCTCACAAGGGGTAATTAATTGTATAATATAAGTAATAAGGTGTCATTTTTAAACATCTTTCGGGCTATAAATACGGGTTGGTACGAGATTAAATTCATCATAAAAGCCCTTTCGGGCTTTATGGAATTTAATCTCGTGACCAACCCGTATTTATATCCCGATAGATGTTTAAAAATGATACCTTATTTCTTAAATAAAATAGATCCGATGTTTTGTTTTCAAATAAACTAATAATGATAATAATGATATACATATTTGAATTAACATTCTGAAATATCAATGCCTGTAGTCCCCGCTATTCTTCCATAACATAATATATCACGGCAGCTTGACAGGGTTCTTCTCAGTTGATATTATTCAAAGTGACCTCTGGTTTTGTGATTTCTGTAGATTGCTTTATAAAGTCTGAAATGGTTATGTATTCCGCATGATATTCTTCTTAAATTTTCTCCAACATCCCTGGATTCAGAATTCCTAACATAAAATTTGTAAACACCTCTCGTATAACATGTACTCCTTGTTCTTTCATATAAATGGTAAATTAATAAGAAGAGAATGAAAGAAATATATTAAAGATTTGATTTTATTTCAAATTACCATATTAAATAAAGCAATTGTTTCTTTTATCTCAAATTTTTTAACATGTAATGCACATATTTTTACTATATGCTAGCTTTTACAGTGCCAACAATTGGAAAATTGTGTCCAGATAACATGAATGCCGAGCAAGACTTTTTTTGACATTTTCTTTTCCGAAAAATATAAGTATAATTTACTACTCTTGCATTATTTTGTTTAATATTCAATTCTGCATCACTGCTTTGAATTCAATATTTGCTATGAGTCAAGGAAAACAGAGTAAAATATTAATGCAATGAAATTAAACATAAAATAATATGTGATTGAAAATTCATTTTGTTATGACTGTTTGTAAATACGTGTATATGGTATGTTATGCATGAGATCAAGCACCACAATATTTCATCACATTCACAACACAACACAATTAAACAATTCCAAACATTTGACCTTTATTAAAATCACCCTCAGTTAAAGTGCCATTCCAAGAAATAAAATTATTGCCTAATGCATTGCAATTTTACTTTGAAGTCTTCCCATTTTTTGTCTATCAACTACTAGTATTTAAAAAAAAATTGATTCAAGGATCTTTTTTATATTTGTATGCATACTTCTGGTGATTACATCTATTACAAAGCTGCATAAATCGCTTTAATGTCCGGGTATGGCACATTCCTTTCAATGGTAATTTAAAAAAAAACTTGCAAACAAAGACAGAATTTACTAATGCTTGTCTGATTTAAATGCATGGTTCTCTTTGAATTGTTTTTGATAAAACCCATCAACTGTGCCAGGGACACAAACATTTAATGCATAAATACAGTGAAATAAAATGAGGTGATAACTCTGCAACAACTGTTCTATGCAGAGAGACAGAAGGAAACCAAAGACAGACAACCAACTTAGTTAACAAAATGTTTGGATGAGGGAGGCACTGTTTATAATTAACACACAGAGACAGCGTGGTGCTAGCTGGTCGTATCTCATGATGGAGTGTCCTTCTGTTCAAACTTCTGTAATCTCCTCCGCCGGATTTCATGCATCTCGTCTGTAAACTCTTCTTTGGCTAGATCCTCCCATTCTGGCATTTCTTCCTCTTTTGGGGGCGTGTACCCTGTAGCTCCGTCTAGGTCTTCATAACCTGTCAATCAAAGGTCAACAGTTCATCACCAAGTAAACTTATTAAAGTTAACTCTAACTCAAAGAGTTCTTGTTTCTCACTAATAATAATAATGATAATAATAATACTTTATTTAAAGAGGGTAACCCGACTAGTGCAATGCACTAGTCTTCCTCGGGGCCCTCTAAACATATTCACAATAATACAATTATTAAAACATTGTAAAATATTATAATAAATAATACAACATGACGTGAAAATACAAGGACATATACAGATCGATTCAAGAACATGGAATTATATAACTTTTAGTGCATGAAATGTATTTAGACCATGTCTCTAATATTAAAGTATTTAAATAATTATTTGGTGTTCTGACAATTGAACTTACTAAGGTGTGTCCCAGAGGGTTCTGTTTTTATTCCTTCTTTAGTTTTGATGACGTCACTTTTTGACTGTTCCTCCTGACTTTTATTTGTTGCGGATACATTTGTAATTATAACTGGAGTGCTGTAAGAAAAAATAATTACAAGGTCATTATAAAAAAATGTAAGTAATAAATGGTTTGTACTTTCTAATATTGAAAGTATTTTGTACTATAAATTGCATACTTATACTGTAACATTAGATCCTTAGATACATGTTTATGCAAGGAATTTATTAATTTTACCTAAATCACCAATCATGAAATTAAATCATCTTGATAATAATTACATCATTATTCCCGATGTAATATAAAATACCAATGATAACAAGTTAATATGTAATAATGCATACCTTATCTGAGCTGATATCTAGGTTACACTTCAGTACTTGACCTGAGTTGCTATCTAGTTTATTTGATGACCTTAACTGAGCTGATATCTAGTTTGTTTGAGTACCTTAACTGGGCTGATATTTAGTTTGTTTGAGTACCTTAACTGAGTTCTTATCTAGTTTGATTACCTTAACTGAGCTGATATCTAGTATATTTGATTACCATAACTGAGTTGATATCTAGTATATTTGATTACCTTAACTGAGTTGATATCTAGTATATTTGATTACCTTAACTGAGCTGATATCTAGTATATTTGATTACCTTAACTGAGCTGATATCTAGTTTTTTCAAATTCCTTTACTGAGCTGATATCTTGTTTGTTTGAGTACCTTAACTGAGCTGATATCAAGTTTGTTTGAGTACCTTAACTGAGCTGATATCAAGTTTATCTGATTACCTTAAATGAGCACATATCTAGTTTTTTAGCTCACCTGAGCCGAAGGCTCAAGTGAGCTTTTCTGATCACATTTTGTCCGTCGTCCGTCCGTCCGTCTGTCTGTCTGTCCGTCTGTAAACTTTTCACATTTTCGACTTCTTCTCAAGAACCACTGGGCCAATTTTGACCAAACCTTGATACAAAGCATTCTTGGGTGAAGGGGAATTTAAATTGTTAAAATGAAGGAACATATCCCCTCGCAAGGGGAGATAATCAAGAAAAGACAAAAAAAGGGTTGGGTCATTAAAAAATCTTCTTCTGAAGAACCACTTGGCCAGTAAAGCTGAAATTTATGTGGAAGCATCCTGGGATAGTGTAGATTCTAAATTGTTCAAATCATGACCCCCGGGGGAAGGGCGGGGCCACCATGGGGAATCAAAGTTTTACATAGAAATATATAGGAAAAATCTTTGAAAAGCTTCTCAAGAACCACTGGGCCAAAAAAGCTGAAACTTATGTGGAAGCATCCTGGTATAGTGAAGATTCTAAATTGTTCACATCATGACCCCCTGGGGAAGGGCGGGGCCACAATGGGGAATCAAAGTTTTACATAGAAATATATAGGAAAAATCTTTGAAAAGCTTCTTCTCAAGAACCACTGGGCCAGAAAAGCTGAAACTTATGTGGAAGCATCCTGGTATAGCGTAGATTCAAAATTGTTCACATCATGACCCCTGGGGGAAGGGCGGGGCCACAATGGGGAATCAAAGTTTTACATAGAAATATATAGGAAAAATCTTTGAAAATCTTCTTCTCAAGAATCACTGGGCCAGAAAAGCTGAAACTTATGTGGAAGCATCCTGGTATAATGTAGATTCTAAATTGTTCAAATAATGACCCCCGGAGGAAGGGCGGGGCCACAATGGGGAATCAAAGTTTTACATAGAAATATATAGGAAAAATCTTTGAAAATCTTCTTCTCAAGAACCACTGGGCCAGAAAAGCTGAAACTTATGTGGAAGCATCCTGGTATAGTGTAGATTTTAAATTGTTCAAATCACATGACCCCCGGGGGAAGGGCGGGGCCACAATGGGGTATCAAAGTTTTACATAGAAATATATAGGAAAAATCTTTGAAAATCTTCTACTCAAGAATCACTGGGCCAGAAAAGCTGAAACTTATGTGGAAGCATCCTGGGGTAGTGTAGATTCTAAATTGTTCAAATCATGACCCCCGGGGAAGGGCGGGGCCACCATGGGGAATCAAAGTTTTATATAGAAATATATAGGAAAAATCTTTGAAAATCTTCTTCTCGAGAACCACTGGGCCAGAAAAAGTGAAGCTTATGTGGAAGCATTCTGGGGTAGTGTAAATTCTAAATTGTAGGAATCATGACCCCCGGGGGAAGGGCGGGGCCACCATGGGGAATCAAAGTTTTACATAGAAATATATAGGAAAAATCTTTGAAAATCTTCTCAAGAACCACTGGGCCAAAAAAGCTGAAACATATGTGCCCATGGAAGGATCATGGGGTAGTGTAGATTTCAAAATGTCTAAATTATGATCAGTGGGGTAGGGTGGGGATGCATTATGTATAACAAGGGGGAAATCTGGTAAAGAACAGAATGGTCAAAGCTTCTCAGTTGAGCGATGTGCTCTTGTTGAGTACCTTAACTGAGCTGATATCTAGTTTGTTTGAGTACCTTATCTGAGCTGATATCTAGTTTGTTTGCGTACCTTAACTGAGCTGATATCTAGTTTATCTGAGTACCTTAACAGAGCTGATATCTAGTTTATCTGAGTAACTTATCAGAGCTGATATCTAGTGTATTGGCGTACCTTAACTGAGCTGATATCTAGTGTATTTGAGTACTTTAACTGAGCTGCTATCTAGTTTATCGAGTACCTTAACTGAGTTGATATCTAGTTAATCAGAGTACCTTAACTGAGTTGATATCTAGTTTATTTGAGTACCTTAACTGAGCTGATATCTAGTTTATCTTAGTACCTTAACTGAGCTGCTACTGTGTTGTACTGATTGATCATCACCATGGCTCCATCCATTAATGCCTGGATATCCCTCAACCACTGAATCCTGGCCTCCACATTCTCCCTCTCTTGTCCCTCAATCTTCCTCAGATCCTCAGTAGACAGCTCAGAGAGATTGCTGGGAGGACGAGTCATGCCTGGAAATAGGGCAAAAGGCATATAAACAAAACAATCCCAAAAGGACAAGAATACTCATCCAAGTCACCATTCTTATCCTGACAATTCACATACAACAGTGTAAAATGGTAGTCTAAAAAAGAGGCCAAATATAGACCCAACAGACCACAATGCTCACCAGAGTCACCATTCTTTTTCATATGGTTATGAACATACTGATTTATAAAAGCCTTGTTTTGTGAAGTCCATTATTTCTACATATTCGAGTAACCGAGTATCTGACAAGACTCAATGAATGATGCTAGCTTTATATTTTCATGGCCCTCTTGTTCTTGTCATAGTCTTGTGAATGTAAAGATAAGCATTCGGGTTACAGTGCAGTTTTGATCAACAGATAATGTTTCATTAACTCTTTTGTTTTGTAAAAAAACAACAAGCTATTATTTTCACAATTTGGGTAGAAAGTTCAATGCTTATTACAATCATGTCAATAGTTTAATTGCGTGATTTCCACAAGGGTTTAACTCTAAAAGAACTGAAAATGCAGATATATCTGTGTCTTGTAATTATATTAATTTTCCAGTTTCTGACAAAAAAATTAATGTCATAAGAATTGGAAATAAAATACTTTGCATGAATGAAATATTAGAATTTTGAAAATACAACCATGTATCTGGTGAAAATTTTGTATGATGTAACATTTTGTATTAAAATGCATTGAAAACTGTATTTAAAAAAATCAATTTGTAAAATCTAAGAAATGATGTTGTGGTGAGGTTCAGAGCACTGAAATATAACGTCTAGAATGAATGTATAAAAAAATGATACAGAACTAAGTGGCTTATAAGATATTTAAGAATCCCAACTAATGACCAAGACGAAAAACACCTGACAGGTAGATAAGACAGGTAAATGGGTCACGTGATCGAAAGTATGTTAAAGATAAACAGACAGGACGGACGCCATTACTGAAATCAGGTAATAAACATTAGAAAAGCTTTTCTAAACAATTAATTTACAAACTGTTTTTAAATCTGTGAACATACATTCTGTAAACATAGTTTAACCATGGAAATAAATTGAATCTTGTGACTTTACTATTGGCATGTGCATACATGAAGATGCAAATCGTGCTGTATAATAAATTCTGGCATACTTTTCAATTCAGTATGGTTGTCTGGTTAAACATAAATTTGGTTTCCTTCACACCCATTCAATGAATTTTTCATGCTTTAGTCACTAACCCAATGATGGACCTCCGTACCAGTGCCCAGGACGTGATGCGATGTGACCTGTGTGAGACCGCTGTGGTGCAGATGCACTGTGATACATGTCTTGTCAACCTGTGTAAGGCCTGTGTGGGAGAACACATCTCAACAAATGAATCCAAAGATCACAAAGTTGTTAAATTTCAGCATAGGAAATCTACTCATCTCTACCCTACATGTACAACACATAATACAGAACAGTGTGAAATGTACTGTAAACAATGTGACATTCCTGTCTGCATCAGCTGTGTTGCTCTTAATCAACATTTAGGTCATGAATTATCAAAAATCTTACAAGTTCTGGGTGAAAAAAAGGACACAGTTATAAAGGATAGGAATGAATTAAATGATACAATTTATCCCACCTACAAAGACATTGCATCTGATGTACAAAACAGAATGAGTCAGTTAGAAAAGGAATATACAGATCTCTCAACAGCCATCACAAAACATGGAGAGGACTTGCACAGAGAAATTGACAAACTTGTCAAGAACCTTAAAGCTGAAGTTGATGAGATTAAAAACACACAGTTACAAACTCTACAAAAACATCTGGATGAAATAAACAAGATAATGTCTGACATAAAGAAGGAAATTCATTCAGTGGAAACTGCAATAGGCACAAATGACTTGTCAAAACTATTTAGTGTCACGTCCAATGTACATACATACAGAAATCTTCCACACAAAATTATGCCATCTTTACCCAAATTCATTCCAGGAAAAACCCCAGGAGATCTAGAAGAATTACGTAAAGTATTCGGAACTTTATCATCAAGTTCTATATCATCATATGAACATGGCTATATCATGAAGACAACACAAAATTCACTAGAAGCTGGATCCTCTCCTCCAGTCAAACAGCTGCTTCATGAACCAGAGACTGTCACCACCATATACACTGGGTATAGAATTAACCTTGACAATGTGGCCTGTCTGAGTGATGAAGAAATCTGGACAAGTGGATGCGATGGCACCATGAAACTCTTCAGTATCAGTCAGGGATCATTACTCAAGTCAATCAAAACCAAGTCAGGGAACGTGCCATCTGACATATCAGTGACAAAAAGAAGAGATCTAATTTATACTGATACTGAGAACAGAACTGTGAACATTATAAAGAATGAGAAGATAAAGAAGGTGATCAGACTACAGAATTGGAAACCTCGCTGTGTCTGTAGTACCTCCTCTGGTGACCTCCTGGTTATCATGGATAGTAATGGTATAATACATGTACAAACAAAAGTTGTCCGTTACTCTGGCTCAACAGAGAAACAAACCATTCAGTTTGATGAAAGAGGTAAACCTCTCTATTTATCACCTGTTGGATGGTTCGTAATTGAACATAAATACATTGTTGAAAACAAGAACCTTGATATCTGCGTGTCTGACAGTCTAGCAGAAGCAGTAGTGGTGGTCAATCAGGCCGGGACACTGAGATTCAGGTACACTGGACATACTCCTGCTCCACAGAACAGACCATTCAGTCCACTTGGAATCACCACAGACAGTCAGAGTCACATCCTTACAGCTGATTATAACAATGACTGTGTCCACATCATAGACCAGGATGGACAGTTCCTCTGTTACATAGACTCTGGACTGAATGAACCCTGGGGACTGAGTATAGATACAAATGACAATCTGTTTGTTGCTCAATGTGAAAATAAACAGGTGAAGAAAATCAAATACATGTATTAGGGTACAGTCCACTAATTGTTTTCCCTTAGGCTACAATGTTAACGTTTCTTCTCATAGCGATTTCTCTAATTTTCATTCAGCAGTGAGTGACCCCTCAAATCAAGGCAAATCAAGTTGTGTTTCCTTGGTTAAAATCTCGAGATGGCATGTCAGATTCGTTTTCCGGCAAAATGCGCCTGTCTTTGGGAAACTTTTAAAATGAAAGTGAAAGTAGGGGAATTTTTTACTTCTCATTGGCGTTTAATTTAATACACAAAATAATTCGGCTGATCTTCTTGATAAGTTACATTTGCCAAGTTTTTTAGGTAGGAAAGATACTCCTTATCAACAATTGTGAGGCTCAGTTTATTACATCTGCACAATATTTTATGCAAGTCTGCAAATTAAGGAACTTGTATTTTTTTCTGCAGTACTTTCTTCTCCTACTGATTCTAAAAATAATTAGTGGGATGTACCCTTTTGCATTGAAATGCATCACTGATTTGAGTACTATGTAATCAAATAAAAGATGTATGCAAGATAACAAATAAATAAATTCGCTGCTTTATGAAAACTTGCAACAATATTTAAATTCTTTTAAGGATCTTTAAATATATGTAAATATGTCTATAAAATACATACTGAATACACTAAATGCATGAAAACCAAGTAAATTTTTTTAATCGTGTCAGAAATAAATATAAACACATGGACCATACAGCCCATGCACCCTAGCTAGAGTATATTTCTATTCAATCTGAAGAAAAATGTTGACCCCGTTATGTGGCTCAAACAGACAGGGTTACATGTAAGGCTGAACCAAACTATATCTAGATTATATGGAAATTCTTCAAAATTATAATGATTATAGAGGTCTTACTGTTACTGGAGATGATTTTTCCCTGTACATGTATACTACATTTAATACATGTAAAATGTGTTTCCAAATTTTAGCCCATGCTTAATTTCGGGGCATGTAAGTTTAAAAAAGAGGCTCATGGACCATAATGCTCATCTGAGTACTATTAATCACTTTTTTATTCGAGAGAACTTTATTTTTGCGTACTTAGTAATTACGCAAGACAGTATGCTCGCGAAAATTTAATTTCTGCGTGTAATAGTATTCCTTAGGATGATAAAGAACAAGAATCATAATTCGTGAAAATGTTGTCTCGCTTATTAAGAGTCAATGACTATCTTGCGAAAATTATGTGATGTACAGTTACTTAAGCCCTGCTGCTCCTAATTTTCTTTTACATTCTCATATACAAATTGTGGCCCTACTTTCTTATGATGGGGTCTCAAAATCCATAAAACAGGAGGACATTTCGAAATGAAGTTATAACATGGCTTCAAACGTATGGAAAAGAGACTTCTTTCCAGCAGACATGCATTACTCTAAATCTATACTCCTTTAAAGTCCTCTTACCGATGGTCTATAATTTAGCTGTAAATATGTCTATAGGACATTCATGGTTCTATTGTGATTCCTGTAAAGGATTTTTGATTACGTATTCACTGACAAGCTATCTTGGTCCGTTTTTACTCCCAGATTCAATGACTTGAAAAATTAAGAATCAACATTATGTCGGAAAGCTCTTAAATAAATTTCTTCTTTTCAGTTAGTTATTCAGTTGGTCGGTAATTCTTAATTCAAAGCAATATGAGCTGTATTTTTGAGAATATTATTTTGCTCATCAAATGTGTTGTTATATTAATTTTTTTGTAATTCAAACTCTTACGATCCATTAGACCAAAATAAGGTTTAAAAATGTTACAGATGAAATATTTCTGTACAATCGAATATACAGTATTATATAAGAAATTATTATTGTACAGGACGACAATAATGCAATTTTTCTTCTATCAAAGGTTATAAAAAGTCCTTCCCTTGCAAATATGAACAACAGATGTTTATAAATGTTCTTTTTTCTGTCAATGAAATAGTTAATTACAAATTTACAAAAAAAAATTTCCGATGTCAAACATGCAGCTCATATTGCTTAAAGATGTGATTCAAAAAGATTTGTTCCAATACGTATACAGGTGCACCCAATGTAATTTCTTCCCCTATTGGATCATTATATGTACAGTATGTATTTACCTAGTACTATCTTTATGTACAGTATTTACCCAATATTAACTCAGTGTACAGAATTTACGTCGGAGTCTAGGCTCACTCTGTGTAGAGTAGATATATACAACCTTATTTACCTAAGACTAAGGAGCTTAGGATGTATTTCATGAATGTCATAGCCACAATATTTAGCTACACTTTTTTTCCATTAACGTTATAAGTGATTTTTGGAGTGTGGGCTGTTTTTTATGATATGTATAAAATAGATCCGATGATTTGTTTTCAAATAAGCTAATAATGATAATTATGATATACATATTTGAATTAACATTTTGAAATATCAATTCCTGTAGTCCCCGCTATTCTTCCATAACATAATATATCATGGCAGCTTGACAGGGTTCTTCTCAGTTGATATTATTCAAAGTGGCCTCTGGTTTTGTGACTTCTGTAGATTTCATTATAAAGTTGGAAATGGTCTTTTTCTTAAAATTTCTCAAACATCCCTGGATTCAGAATTCCTAACATAAAATTTGTGAACACCTCTTGTATTACATGTACTCCTTGTTCTTTCATATAAATGTTAATTGAAATAGAAACAGAATGCAAGAAATATATTAAAGACTTGATTTTATTTCAAATTACCATATTAAATAAAGCAATTGTTTCTTTTATCTCAAATTTTTTAACATGTAATGCACATACTGTAAAAGCACAAATATTTGTGGGGGATTAAATTTCGTTTATTTCGTTGTTAACAATATTCAAATTAAATCCCACATGACATTTTATATGACTATATATTGAATAAGGTTCCTTTCAAAACAACGAAATTAAATGCCCACGAACCTATTTTTCATGACAAAACAACGAAATTTTATGCCCACGAAAATTTATGCTTCTACAGTATTTTTACTATATGCTAGCTTTTACAATGCCAACAATTGGAAAATGGTGTCCAGATAACATGAATGTCTAGCAAGACTTTTTTTTTCTATTTTCTTTTCCGAAAAATATAAGTATAATTTACTACTATTGCATTATTTTGTTTAATTTTCAATTCTGTATCTCAATATTTGCTAGGAGTCAAGGAAAACGGGATTGAAATATTTATGCAATGAAATTAAACATAAAATAATATGCATTACATACCATATACACTGTACACGTATTTACAAACAGTCATAACAAAATGAATTTTTAATTACATGAGATCAAGCACCACAATATCTCATCACATTCACAACACTCATACACAATTAAACAATTCCAAACATTTGACCTTTATTAAAATCACCCTCAGTTAAAGTGCCATTCCAAGAAATAAAAGTATTGCCAAATGGACTGCAATTTTACTTTGAAGTCTTCCCATTTTTTTTGTCTATCAACTACTAGTATATAAAAAAATAGATTCAAAGATCTTTTTTATATTTGTATGCATACTTCTGGTGATTACATCTATTACAAAGCTGCATAAATCGCTTTAATGTCCGAGTATGGCACATTCCTTTCAATGGTAATTTAATAAAAAAAAACTTACAATCAAAGACAGAATATACTAATGCTAGTCTGATTTGAATGCATGGTTCTCTTTGAATTGTTTTTGATAAAACCCATCAACTGTGTCAGGGACACAAACATTTAATGCATAAATACAGTGAAATAAAATGAGGTGATAACTCTGCAACAACTGTTCTATGCAGAGAGACAGTAGGAAACCAAAGACAGACAACCAACTTAGTTAACAAAATCTTTGGATGAGGGAGGCACTGTTTATAATTAACACACAGAGCCAGCAGGGTGCTAGCTGGTCGTGTCCGATGATGGAGTGTCCTTCTGTTCAAACTTCTGTAATCTCCTCCGCCGGATTTCATGCATCTCGTCTGTAAACTCTTCTTTGGCTGGATCCTCCCATTCTGGCATTTCTTCCTCTTTTGGTGGCGTGTACCCCGTAGCTCCCTCCAGGTCCTCATAACCTGTCAATCAAAGGTCAACAGTTCATAACTGAGTAAACTTAAATATAATGTTAATTCTCATTCACAAATTCTCATTTCTCAATCAGCACACAAGCACATTTCAGACCACTTCTCTGAGAAAAATAATCAATGTTTGGTGTATTCTGACCCTCATAACCTGCCATCAAGTTATACCCCAATAAACTTTGCCATAAAAAACACGTGATTTTCATCTGCAGAGTTAAAGTAATGCAATGTATAATTAGACTACTCTTTACATATTTCCGCAATTTTTGTGTTAACTGACAATTGAACTTACTAAGGTCTGTCCCAGAGGGTTCTGTTTTTATCTCATTTTTGGTTTTTATGTCCTCACTCTTGGTCTGTTCATCCTGACTTCTATTATTTGAGGATACATTTGTATTTATGACTGGAGTGCTGTAAAGAAATTAATCACAATGTAATTATAAAAATATGAGCAATAAATGTCTTGTACTTTCTACTATTGAAAGTATTTTGTACTATTAACTGCATACCCATCCCTAAATATCTGCAAGGAATTCATCAATTTTGCCTAAATCACCAATCGTGAAATAAAATCATTTCATTCCTATTACATCATTACTTTATTTGAGTACTTTAACTGAGTTGATATCTAGTTTATTTGAGTACCTTAACTGAGCTGATATCTGGTTTAGTTGAGTACCTTAACTGAGCTGATATCTAGTTTATTTGAGTACCTTACCTAAGCTGATATTAAGTTTATTTGAGTACCTTAAGTGAGATGATATATAGTTTTTTGAGTATCTTAAGTGAGCTGATATCTAATTTATTTAAGTACCTTAAGTGCAGTGATATCTAGTTTATTTAAGTACCACAAGTGAGCTGATATCCAGTTTATTTGAGTACCTTAAGTGAGATGATATCTACTTTAAAAAATATTTGAGTACCTTAACTTAGCTGATATCTAGTTTATTTGAGTATCTTAAGTGAGATGATATCTAGTTTATTTGAGTACCTTAAGTTAGTTGATATCTAGTTTATTTGAATACCTTAATTGAGCCGATATCTAGTTTATTTGAGAACCTTAACTGAGCTGATATTTAGTTTATTTGAGTACCATAATAGAGCTATATAGTTTATTTGAGTACCTTAACTGAGCTGATATCTAGTTTATTTGAGTACCTTAACTGAGCTGATATCTAGTTTATTTGAGTACCTGAACTGAGCTGATATCTAGTTTATTTGAGTACCTTAACTGAACTGATATTTAGTTTATTTGAGTACCATAATAGAGCTATATAGTTTATTTGAGTACCTTAACTGAGCTGATATCTAGTTTATTTGAGTACCTTAACTGAGCTGATATCTAGTTTATTTGAGTACCTGAACTGAGCTGATATCTAGTTTATTTGAGTACCTTAACTGAACTGATATTTAGTTTATTCGAGTACCTTAACCGAGCTGATATCTAGTTTATCTGAGCCTTCACTGAGCTGATATCTAGTTTATTTGAGTACCTTAACTGAGCTGATATTTAGTTTATTTGAGTACCATAATAGAGCTATATAGTTTATTTGAGTACCTTAACTGAGCTGATTTCTAGTTTATTTGAGTACCTGAACTGAGCTGATATCTAGTTTATTTGAGTACCTTAACTGAGCTGATATCTAGTTTATTTGAGTACCTTAACTGAGCTGATATCTAGTTTATTTGAGTTCCTTAACTGAGCTGATATCTAGTTGATCTGAGTTCCTTAACTGGGCTGATATCTAGTTTATTTGGTTACCTTAACTGAGCTGCTACTGTGTTGTACTGATTGATCATCACCATGGCTCCACCCATTAAGGCCTGGATATCCCTCAACCACTGAATCCTGGCCTCCACGTTCTCCCTCTCTTGTCCCTCAATCTTCCTCAGATCCTCAGTAGACAGCTCAGAGAGATTGCTGGGAGGACGAGGCATGCCTGCAAATAAGATAAAAGGCAGTCTTAAAAAGAGGCTTAATAGACCACAATGCTTGTCCAAGTCACTATTCTTCCTCTGACAAAAGACTATGTAAATACTGATTAATAAATAGAAACCTTGTCTGGAAATGGGAATAAAATTTTTGCAAGATTGAAGTGTTAGAATTTTGAAAAAATCTGGTGAAAATTTTGCATGTTCAATTCATCAACATTTTGTATTGAAAATGCATTGAAAATTGTATTTAAAAAAACAAGATGTGCTTGTGAAACACTGATGCCCCGTATGGTAACATAGCAAAGATTTAACTTTTCTTAAATGCAAATTTAATTGATACCAAAAGTAGGGTATTGTCACTGGAAAACAATCATGAAATTTGAATGAGGGCCAATTTTAAAGTTATTTTCAATAAGTACAAAAATCTCCAAGGTCAAGATCAAAAGGTCAAGGTAATTGGTATCCAATGAAAGGTCTTGCCACATAGAATACTTATATAGAGTATGGCATTGCCGCAAACCACAGCCAAAATGTACGCTCCTCTCCCATCTGGCCGTGGTTGAACGAGGAGAGAATTCTTCGTAGCTCATTAAAATATTGACCAATGCAAGTAAAGCATAGTCGAATGATGAACTTTATCACGACCTTTCAATACCCAATCGTAGTATAGGAAATATTTCTTGCATACTGTTGACGTCAGTTGTTGATTTCGATTGTGATGGAAACAAAACTTGCCACTGACTGAATATGACGTCACAATAGAAGTGCGTAAATATTCAAGATTACGACACTTTTTGTGATCAAGCAGACACGGGTAGGAGAGAGCTATATATGCGGACTCCGGACCGTGGCTTGAGACGATGAGAGTATGGAAGCCCAAACCCTAACCGTTCAGAAGTTATGGCCAAGGTGTCTAGTAATTATTTTTAAAAGTAGGTCAAACTCCAAGGTCTAGGTCAAAGGGTTAAAGTTCTTGTTATCAAATGAAAGGTCTTGTCACAAGGAATAAATATGTAAAGTATGAAAGCACTAGCCTTAACCCTTATAAAGTTATGGTCAATGTTTGCTTTTAAAAGTGGGTCAAACTCAAGGGTCAAGGTCAAAGGGACAAACTTAATGGTATCCAATGAAGGGTCTTTTTACAAGGATTACATATTATATGAAGTATGAAGGCCCTTTTCCTTATCGTTCATAAGCTATGGCCAAGGTTAAAGTTTTTTCACAAGTCTAAATCTAAAAGGTCAAGGTCAAATGGTCAAGGTTGTTGGTATCCAATGAAAGTTCTTTCAAAGAAGAATACATATGTCAAGAATAAATGTCCTGTTATGTACTTTTCAAAAGATATGGCCAAAATAAAAGTTTAAAATGTTCATGTAAAAGTGGGTCAAACTCCAAGGTCAAGGTTAAAAGGTCAAATTTGGTGGTACCCAAAGAAAGGTCGTCAAAAGGAATACACATGTGAATTATGAAAGCCATAGCCCCACTCACTCAAAAGTTATGGGAAAGGTTAAAGTTTTTGCAGACAAACAGACAGACAGACACGACAAAAACTATATACCCCCGAAACATCGTTTACGTGGGCATAAAAAAAAACAAACAACAAAAAACTTTAAAGACATTAAATCTAAAACAGAAATGGCAATGCTGTGAGGTTCAGACTACTGAAATATTACGTTTAGAATGAATGCATAAATAAATCTATACAGAACTTAGTGGCTTTTAAGATATTTAAATCCCCACTACAGACCAGGAAGTAAAAACACCTGACAGGTAGATAACACAGGTAACTAAGTGGGTCATGTGATCAGAGAGCATACTAAATGTTAACAGACAGGACAGCCGCCATTTCTGAAGTCAGGTAAAAAAACATTAGAGGAGCATTTTGTAAATTTGCAAATTGTTTTTATAGTCTGTGAATATACATACTGTAAGCTAAGCTAACCATGGAAATAAATTGAATCTTGAATACCGGTATATTCAGCTGAATGACTTTACTGTCGACAAGTGTATATATGTACAATATATGCAAATCATGTCTGTATAATGGCCGGTCTCTGACATACTTTTCAATTCAGTATGGTTATCTGGCTAAACATAAATTTTGATTCCCTCAATCCCAATCATAAATATATAATCATTGATGTTGACGTTTTATTCTTCAGTCACTTTACCTAATAATGGACCCCCGTACCAGTGCCCAGGACGTGATGCGATGTGACCTGTGTGACTGCTGTGGTACAGATGCACTGCGACACATGTCTTGTCAACCTGTGTAAGGCATGTGTGGGAGAACACATCTCAACAGGTGAATCTAAAGATCACAAAGTCGTTAAATTTCAGGAGAGGAAATCCACTCCCTTTTATCCTATATGTACAACTCATAATAAAGAAGGATGTGAAATGTTCTGTAAACAATGTGACATTCCTGTCTGTCTTAGCTGTGTTGCTCTTAATAGACATTTAGGTCATGAATTATCAAAAATATTACAAGTTCTGGATGAAAAAAAGGACATGATTATAAAGGAAAGAAATTAATTAAATGATACAATTTATCCCACATACCAGGACATTGCCTCAGATGTACAAAACAGAATGAGTCAGTTAGAAAAGGAATATGGAGATCTCTCAACAGCCATAACAAAACATGGAGAGGACTGGCACAGAAAAATTGATGAACTTGTCAAGAAACTTAAAGTTGAAGTTGATGAGATGAAAAACACACAGTTACAGAGTCTACAGAAACATCTGGATGAAATAAACAATACAATATCTGATATCAAGGATGAAATCAATTCAATGGAAACTGTAATAGACACCAATGACTTGTCAAAACTATTTGGTGTCACGTCCAATCTAAACACATACAGAAATCTTCCACACAAAATTTTGCCATTTTTACCAAAATTTATTCCAGGAAAATTCCAAGAAGAAGAAGAACTAAGTAAAATGTTTGGAGCCTTATCATCAAGTTCTTTAACTTCAGATAAACATGGCTACAGTATGAAGACAACACAGAAATCACCAGAAGCTGGATCCTCTCCTCCAGTCAAACAGCTGCTTGATGAACCAGAGACTGTCACCACCATAGACACTGGTTATACAGATTACCTTGCCAATGTGGCCTGTCTGAGTGATGAAGAAATCTGGATGAGTGGAAATGACAGTACCATGAAACTCTACAGCATCAATCAGGGTTCACTACTCAAGTCCATCACAACCAAGTCAGGGAACGCACCATATGACATAGCAGTGACAAAAAGTGGAGATCTAGTTTATATTGATACAGATGATAGAACTGTGAACATTGTGAAGAATGAGAAGATAGAGGAGATGATCAGACTACAGAACTGGAAACCTAAAGGTGTCTGTAGTACCTCCTCTAGTGACCTCCTAGTTATCATGGTCAGTGATGATAATAACCAATCAAAAGTTGTCCTTTACTCTGGCTTCACAGAGAAACAAACCATTCAGTTTGATGATAAAGGTAAACCTCTCTATTCACCTGGTCCTTATTATCATTACAGATGCATAACTGAGAACAGGAACCTGGATATCTGTGTGTCTGATGATGGAGCTAAAGCAGTAGTGGTGGTCAATCAGGCGGGGAAACTGAGATTCAGGTACACTGGACATACTCCTGATCCAAAGAACGAACATTTCAGTCCACGAGGATTCACCACAGACAGTCAGAGTCACATCCTTACAGTTGATTATAACAATGAGTGTGTCCACATCATAGACCAGGATGGACAGTTCCTCCGTTACATAGAGTGTGGAGCGAGTAAACCCTGGGGACTGTGTACAGATACAAATGACAATCTGTTTGTTGCTCAAGTGTGGAAAAAAGAAGTGAAGAAAATCAAATACATGTATCTGCATTGAAATACATCACTGATTGGTGTACTATGTAATCAATAAATGAAGCATGAAAATTAACTGATAAATGTACATAAGTATACTGCTTTATGGAAACTTGCAATAATATCTGAATTATTTTTACGGAGATAAGGAGAAGGACTAGGCATGCAATTAAAAAGTTGAAAGGCAAGAACAAAAACAGTTGCTAGCCAAATTTGCTTTGAAAGATTTTTTAGGACAAGGTATGCCTGTAACCATTTAAAAGCCACATACAAAACAGTTGCTAGGTCGATTTGCTCGAACTTTGATAACCACTCACCAAAAGGCATCATAAGAGGTGGAAACATAGGCATCATTGGTGGTGGCATTCCTGTAGGAAGTGAACCCATTCCTGTAGGAAGTCCACCCATTCCTGCTGACAAGCCTGGAGATGTGGAGACTGATGGCTGAGGGAATGTGGAGGAGACCGTGGCAGTAGAGGTGGTGGTCTGTGGTGCCTGGGAACCACCTAAAGAAAGTGAAATATGATTGAACTTACTGGGTACCACCTACAGAAATAAAGTTTTTTTTTGTGTTTGTTTGTGCTTTCTATTCAAATTCCGTTAAGATTTGGTCTTAATACTGAACTGTACATATATAAGTAAAGAAAAAAATCTTTAATAAAAACTTTTCATAATATTGGAAGAATATTAGACTTAAAACCGAATGCTCAAGTGCTTTCTTTGTTTGACAAGTATACTGTTCTAACCTGGTGGTGCTGGGTTGGGCTGCTGGGGAGGAACAGGGGGCTGTGGCCACATCTGAGGAGGAATACCCGGCATACCAGCCAGACCCCCAAACACTGCAAATTCGAGAAAGTTGTGATTTAGTGCAAAACAAAATTGGAAAAAATTATGACATTTCTACCGGTATTTGACAATTTTAAAAAAAATAAATACAGGTGACTTTCGATCTCTCAAATTTCAAGGGACCGCAAGAAAAGTTCGAGAGATCGAGGGGTTCGAGAGATAGAAAGTAAATAAAATTTGGATTTTTCAGTTCCAATCATCGATGTTCTACTATTATAGATACCGGAAGTATATGCAAATAAAGTCAATGCACACTTTCAATCGTTTTCTAAAGGTAATTCACTTGATTTCAACAACAACGATCGTATTTCAAATAAATAAAACGAATTCCTAAAGTTTCAAAATTTATTTGTTCTTTTTTCATGATAACATGAAACCAGAAAAGCAATTGTCGGTTTTGCTTGATCGGATCCTTCACCAGAATTCACCACTGACACCAGATTTTTCTTAATAGGTATTCAGTCCTTGTGAAATAAATTTCTTGTGTAATATTTACCTTTCTTGGATTATGTAGACTCTAATAAGTTTATAGTCTATGGGAACTTATTCCCATGAGTCTATAAATTATTTTCTTAAAATTATCGTCTCGGATTTAAGTCCAAATAAGTTGTGAATTCGTTTATAATATACCTATAATGACCCACAGGTGTAGTGTCGTCTATGTAAATATCCAATTAACACCTTCATGCTAGCCCCAGGCGTTCACTGTTTTCCATGTAAATCCAGGCTGCATCAATTTTATGCTTGATTGGAGTGTTTACACACGTAATCAAAAGTTCGAGAGATAGATAGTAAAAATCAATAGAATATGTGTAACGGGACCAGGTATTAGTTCAAGAGATAGAGAGTTTAGAGAGATAGAAGTTCGAGAGATCAGGAGTAAATTTGCTTAGTTATATAGAGGAAAAAAAAGGGACCGGAGGCTCACTTCGAGAGATCGAGAACTTTGACTCATATCAGCAAGAGTTATCTCTCATGTCTAAGTGTCAATGAACCTTAAATTTACTACTGTAAATAAGTTTTTATTTGCAGAAACTTAAATTTCATTTAATTCAACTGTCTGGTAGCAGAAATTTTATCTCACTCATATCTTATTTAATTAAAATAACGTAAAACAATCGATATATTTAGTCTAGCTAAAAAATACATTTTGATTATCTCAAAAGAATTTAATGATCTACAGTGTGTAATATTTTACATATGCCACATACTGTTTTGAGGGGGCTGTGGTTGTGCGGGCTGAGGAGGGGGCATGGCTTGTGTTGTGATTGGTGTCGTCCTCAGTACATCCCGCCTACACGTGGGACAGGTCTGTTGTCTCTGGAACCACGACCGCAGACAACTGGTGTGGAAGATGTGATTACATGGTAACTTCTTGGCAGCTGTTGTCATGTTTTCCCGACAGATGATACAGACATCGTCCACTTGAAGCTCTTCTTCTGTGGCATCAGGATAACTATAAACAGACAATGTGTGTTCAAAAGACCTCATCTCAACCTTTGGCTCAGTTTAGCTAAATAATCACAAGATAGTAACAGAAACTTATACCACAAGCATGACAGACCAAACCACTTACTTAGTGTTCATGTTTCTGATAGCTCTTCTGGACATGATGACATCATGTAAGGCTTTCTTGAATCCCCTGAAATAAAATATAAATCCATGAACTCCAAAAAGATATTTAATTATATTGATATATTTACACATTGAATTTGAAGAGAAAATGTTAATTTGTGTGAATTTCATTTGGGGGTCAGAGGTCATAGCGCGACTGAATCACAGAGCGAGGTGATATTTTGTTCTTGTAATAAATGCAATTTAACTCGAAATGCATGTATTCATCTCAAATATAAATATAAGTAATAAACAACAATGTTAAAAAGTTCTTTGGGAAATGAACATTTAGTTGGTACGTGATCAAATCTACTGAGAAGCCCTTGTTTATTTCTTAAAAGGACAATAGCTTCAAAATTACATGTAGTTTAGAGTTTATTTCATGCTTTACCTCATAGATAGATACATAGGTCTGATGGCAAACAGTGGGAATGTGTGGACTTTGATCATGAAGACCATGAACGCCATGTATAACACAACCGTCACCGCACCTGTAATGGCATTATAATCTTACTAACTACAAATCACACAAGCATCAAGAATGCCTGCTTAAATAAATCTCATTAGTTTCTAATTTTTTCATATTTATTACAAATGTATATGTAAAAGATCTGTGTGCACAGCAAGTGTATTATGTATTTACCAAAATACAAGTGTAGAGTAGGTATTTGCCTATATGCACAGCAAGTGTATTATGTATTTACCTAAATACAAGTGTAGAGTAGGTATTTGCCTAAAACCTACACTATGCACATTAAGTACAGTTATTACCTAGGACTAGCTCTGTGTACAGTAGATACACTGCCTTGTTTTCCCAAGGGTTCTCATTCTGTAAGTCTATAGAATGTAGGATGTACTTCATGAACGTCATAGCCACTATGGTCATCAAGATGACGTACTGAAAAAATGGAGAGAAGAAAGCATTTCATCTTTTTATTCTGGTAGCCATAAAATAATTTGTCAGAAAATCCAGACTGTTCTTGACACATGGTTTATCTGACCCTTTGTACAAGTTCCTACTCTTTCAGTAGGGAATTTTTAATAGAAAAATTTAGAAACAAAAGTTGGAAATATTTCACTACAGATCATGAGATATCATATTGTACCTGAGAAAGTTGAAATTACATAATATACATGTCTACCAAACTATGGGTATTGTCCACTACTAACCAAAGAAATATGGCAGAGTTTACTATATACACATGTGTACTATTTTTGAAGAAATGAAATAACTTACCTCAAATCCAAACACAAGCTGTACCGATGCCCCTTTGGTGAGGGTACTATAGTAAGCATGGTTTATAAAGTAGATATCTATGACACCCAGTAATGCTATCAGTGCTACAAAGAGAGAGGAAAATAGGTCAACTTCATGGCTTCATTAATGTTCTGCAATTTTTTTTTCTCCAAACATTATGTAGTCTAGAAATACATTCCTTTAAGACTTTGATTTCAAAGCTTTAAACAATGTAACATAAAGTTAGATGATTTAACTTAACATGCACGTCATCTTCCCTAGCCGAGGGGTTTCTGACCCACTACTCACATAAGGAACACTTGGCCTATTGTGCTATCAAAAGTCAGGATTTTTCTCTAAAGTTTATTGGTATCTTTGGTCCAGTCAGCAAGTGCTCTTGTTATACCTACCAGTATATCATCAAACTAACAAGGCCGAGTCTAATCCGAGTGCGCATGACTTTGAGCAGCTTTTTAATTTCATGCAGTCATTTGTGCGACAGTACACATTTGCCAAATATATTGATTTTAATACAAAATGTTTTGTTGTCAGTAAATTCACGCATGCATGTAAAGTACTCAAACACAAACAAATCAGTATAAAAACGTGTCGTGTGAGGAGACGTTATTTCATGCTTTCTTTTTGATACCAGAGTGTTTTTCATGCACGAGTAGACACACTGACAAAAATTCATAACTCGACTTTCAGTATTTAATTTTTAAAGAATTTTTTTGAATTTTCATTACATAAAATACCTTGATCAAGGTATTTTAAATACCTTGATAAAGCTATATAGCTTTATCAAGCTATATACCTTTATCGGGGTATTATGCTGGACCTGATGAAATGACATAAATAATCTTAATTTTTAATAGCAAGATAGGCCAAGGGTTTGTGAGGATAGTTGTGAATCAAAAACCCTGCTTAGTGAAGATGCTTGCATTTTGTGGATGAAATATAAAACTAGAAAACTGACCAGTCAGTAAGGACCCCGCCATGGGGTAGAATTATAAGGGTGCAGCTTACAGAATGATTCAAAAATGTATGAACAATAAGATTTTAAACAGCGACTGTGTTCTTAAAATTAATTCCTGAATATTCAAAACCCTGTAGATAATATCCTTGTATTTACATAAGGCAGTAAAAACAACTCAACATTGAATGTATTAAACAATAATGAATCTTGTGTTATATATAAAATGCCAGCCTTCAATGAATGCAAATACATATTATGAAGGCTTAACCTTAACTTCAAAACTAACAACAGTTGCAGACAGTTTTCATTAATCTTAGGGTGACAGATAAAAATTAATTTCCTTCAGCAGGTTAGATAAATAATCCCAAGGGATTAATTGTACTTCTCTCTCATCATTTTCTTCTAAATTTACAATAAGATCTTTTTCAGTAATGATAGAATGAGGTTTTTATCTTTAATCTTGAATTTACATATTAAGAGCAAAAAAAATTAAAATATATGTCTTCTTAAATCAATTTCTTGTTTTTAGAATTAAATCTATTTCTTGTTTTTAGAATTCATTGGAAATCTGAACTCATTGTGTAGGGTATTTCAACAAAATCATAGTATAAACATTTACATGTGTACTTAAATCCACATTTCAGATTGTTCATAGCATTACAAATTGACTTAACTTCAAAACAAACTTCATTTGCAGACAGAGGTGGTAATTAATCTCAATGTGACAGATAAAGATAATGCTAGGATTCTCTTCAGGAGGAAAGAGGAAAGCTAATAAAAGACAATATAATCTCTGAAAATAGTTTTTTCTTTTTATGGTGATGAAGTTGATGAAGTTAAAATCTTACTTTAATCATTATTTATTTCTCATTATAAGTCTAAAGAGCTAATTTGAATGGATTTCGTGAATGTCACAGCCACAATCTTTAGCCACATTTTTTTCTCATCAATGCAATAGATGTTCTTATTTTAATTCAGTGATTTTTATTTCGGGGGGTGAGATGGGGTGTTTGCTTTAATAGATATATAATATAGATTTGATATCAAATACTAGTAAACAAGTACTAATACACATATTTAAATTCACCTTCTAAAATATTAATGCCTTTAGTCCCCCATATTCTTCTTTAACGAAATATGTCATGGCAACTTGACAGGGTTCTTCTCAATTGGTCTTGCTAACAGTACTTAGCAATCAATAAATCACCCGAGCATTTTCGATCTAATGACCTTGGAGATTCACATATTTTAAAAACCTTTTAATCTCAACCACAGGAGTTCGCGTACTAATCAATTTTACCTAAATTTAATTAAAAAAATACATGATATCTTTATTATAAGTTTTCTCTCTTTTTACATTTATTGAAAATTTAGATAAAACTGATAGGTATGCGAAATCAAACTACTGTGCCTCCACCAAGAGAAATCATGGAGGAGCATTGTATTATAATGTTGGTTAGATAAATAATCCCAAGGGATTAATTGTACTTCTCTCTCATCATTTTCTTCTAAATTTACAATAAGATCTTTTTCAGTAATGATAGAATGAGGTTCTTATCCAACAACCTTAAAAATTAATAATATTCTTGAATTTACATATTAAGAGCAAAAAAAAATTAAAATATATGTCTTCTTAAATCAATTTCTTGTTTTTAGAATTAAATCTATTTCTTGTTTTTAGAATTCATTGGAAATCTGAACTCATTGTGTAGGGTATTTCAACAAAATCATAGTATAAACATTTACATGTGTACTTAAATCCACATTTCAGATTGTTCATAGCATTACAAATTGACTTAACTTCAAAACAAACTTCATTTGCAGACAGAGGTGGTAATTAATCTCAATGTGACAGATAAAGATAATGCTAGGATTCTCTTCAGGAGGAAAGAGGAAAGCTAATTAATCCCAAGGGACTCATTCATTGCAGTATTCTGTTTACATTGGGAACATTTTCAGAAGTTATCTCTCTTTGCCAATGTATTCTTATATAAAGTTAAGGAATCTACCCCACCACCCCAGCTCCAAACCAGAGGACATAGAGAAACAAATTTAACATCAAAATATGTCTTTCTGCCTACTGAACTACCATACCAAATTTGAACTTAATTGGGCAACCATAAAAAAGTTATTAGGAAAAAACAGAAAATTTATGGACAGAAGAATGACAGACGGACAAACGGACAGACAGAGTGATTACTATAGGGCACCCGCAAATTCTTGCGGGGCCCTAATTAATGATGTTACAGCACTTACTTAATGCCCTGATATGAAATAATATTGAGATTACAGGACTTCTCTCCATCTGCAATGGTACACAAAAAGTCAAATTAACATTATGAAAATTGTTATTAACTTATTACAGTAACCGAAATTTGGTTTCATAATGTGTTTAATTCTTCAAAGCTTTACTTAACAGTGTCATTCTACTATTAGACGTCATAACCATGGTTAATAATTTTAATTAGCGGTCAACTGAGAGGTCACTTTGAACCTATATAACACTGGAATAAGTTTCAATCCTCCAAATTAGATAAATAAAATAATCATATTTTTAATTTTTATCATTATCTTCTACTTACGTAATCAATTCTGTCCTCAGCCAACCAGTGAAAACACTTCAGAAACAACAGAAGTGTGAAGAGAGCTACGAATTTAGGACTGAAGTCATCCCGAAACACCGTAAACTCTAAGCAGGTCTCTGTCACTGCATACCATGATCTCTCAATTAAATGCTAAAAGAATAAATACATGTTATATGGTGGAACTGATACCTCACTAGTTCTTCTATAATGGGAGGACAAATGTTTCAACTGGAATGAGAGACACATTTACTTGACCTTTTTTTTTTTAGTATTTTAATAGATTATTTGGATAGAGTTTATTCAGAAAGAAGACTTAAGTCCTAAAATATAATTTAAGTGGCTTGTAATCATATTCAGTTTGTGATAGAATAGCATTGTGAGTTTGTGACACTCTCATTGATTGATATATGTTATGTTCATGCAGGTATGTCCAAATCTTTGATACAATTGTTTCATTACTTCTATTTCAGCAGGTCGAAGTGTCCCAAAAATACCTTCCTCATCAGTTTTCCCATGAGAATGATGAAAACAAATGCTTGGATGTACAACATCTGAAAACAGGGTGATGCTTTTAAAATCCATTTCTGCATAACTTTCTCTATCAATCTAAAACTCTTATATTGACCATGTTACTATCAAACTTAAAACGATACTGAACACACTTTGAATCTCATATTACATGGTTATATAATAAATAATAATTTTGTCCTTTTGAAATTACAACAAAAAAGCTTTGTTTGATATTAAGAGAATACGTACCATACTTATAACCGAATGTTAAGTGCTTTCTTTGTTTGATAAGTTTATTGTTCTAACCTGGTGGTGCTGGGTTGGGCTGCTGGGGAGGAACAGGGGGCTGTTGCCACATCTGAGGAGGAATACCTGGCATACCAGCCAGACCCCCAAACACTGTTTATAGTAGACAATATAATCTCTAGAATAGGAGTTTTTTCTTTTTATGGTGATGAAGTTGATGAAGTTAAAATCTTGCTTTAATCATTATTTATTTCTCATTATAAGTCTAAATAGCTAATTTGAATGGATTTCGTGAATGTCACAGCCACAATCTTTAGCCACATTTTTTCTCATCAATGCAATAGATGTTCTTATTTTAATTCAGTGATTTTTATTTCGGGGGGTGAGGTGGGGTGTTTGCTTTAATATATATACATATATAATATAGATTTGATATCAAATACTAGTAAACAAGTACTAATACACGTATTTAAATTCACCTTCTAAAATATTAATGCCTTTAGTCCCCCATATTCTTCTTTAACAAAATATATAATGGCAACTTGACAGGGTTCTTCTCAGTTGATATTACTAACAGTACTTAGCAATCAAGTAAATCACCTGAGCATTTTCGATCTAATGACCTTGGAGATTCACATATTTTAAAAAACTTTTTACCTCAACCACAGGAGTTTGCGTACTAATCAATTTTACCTAAATTTAATTTAAAAAATTCATAATATCTATTTAAGTTTTCTCTCTTATTATATTGATTGAAAATTTAGATAAAATTGATAGGTATGGGAAATCAAACTACTGTGCCTCCACTAAGAGAAGTCATGGAGGGGCATTGTATTATAATGTTGGAAATCGAGGGACATTAGTGTTTTACAAACACATCTTCCTATCTTTTGGTCAATACAGGTACAGTCATGTGTCTTGGCAAATGGTCCGAACATGTTTGGTTTTCAAGCAGTGTTTCTAGATAGCCTCCAGCTTTGATACCTTTTGCAATATAAAGTTGGAAATGGTTATCTAATGCATTTAGTATGGTATTTTTGTTAAATTATCTCTAACATCCTTTGCTTCAGAATTCCTTACATCAGAATTATACCTTTATATTTCAAATGACTGGTAATTAAAATTAAAATAGAACACAGGAAGTTAATTAAAGACTTTATTTTATTTCAAACCAGTCTCTTACCATATTAAATATTATAGCAATTGTTTCTTTGTTCTCAAATTTGTTAACATGTTATGCACCTATATTAAAAATTTTTTCTATCTGCTATTACAGTGCCAAAATTTTTTTTAAATGGTATCCAGATGACATGAATTTTATGCCACACTTTTTTAACTTTTTTTATCCCAGAAAATATAAGTTCAATTTACAAATCTTGCATTATTCTTTTTATTTTCAATTCTGTATCACTGCATTTAATTTATTTTTGCTATGAGTCAAGGAAAACAGGATTAAAATAGTAATGCAATATGAAATTTAACATAAAATTATATGCATGATATACCATATATTTACAAACAATCATAACAAAATGAAATTCTAATTACATGAGATCAAGCACCACAACATTTCATCACATACACTACACTCATACACAATTAAACAATTCCAAACATCTGTCTATGAAATCATCCTCAGTTAAAGTGCCATTCCAAGAAATAAAATTATTGCATAATGCACTACAATTTTACTTTAGAATACTTCAATTTTTTGTCTATCAGCTACAAGTATTTTTCAAAAAAAAAAAACTAGATTCAAAGATTAATTTTTTATCTGTAAGCGGACTCTGGTAATAACATCCAATATAAAACTGCATGCATTGTTTGAATTTTAGGGTATGGCACATTCCTTCTTATGGTTACTCAATAAAACTTTTTTATATAGATAAAACCCATCAACTGTGCCAGTAACACAAACATTCAAAATTCTTCTTTATGCATAAATACAGTGAAATAAAATGGAGGATGGAACTCTGCAACAATTGTTCTACCCAGAGAGAGAGAGAGAGAGAGAGAGAGAGAGAAACAGAAGGAAACCAAAGAAAGACAACCCACTCCGTTTACAAAATCTCTGGATGAGGGAGGCACTGTTTATAGTTAAAACACAGGACCAGTGTGGTGCTAGCTGGTAGTGTCTGATGATGGAGTGTCCTTCTGTTCAAACTTCTGTTATCTCCTCCGCCGGATTTCATGCATCTCGTCTGTAAACTCTTCTTTGGCTGGATCCTCCCATTCTGGCATTTCTTCCTCCTTTGGGGGCGTGTACCCCGTAGCTCCCTCCAGGTCCTCATAACCTGTCAATCAAAAGGTCAACAGTTCATTGCCAAGTAAACTTAAATAGAATTAATTCTAACTCACAGAGTTCTTGTTTCTCACTAACATACAAAATAAATTTAGACCATGTCTCTAATAAAAGATTTCAATATTTTTTTGTGCTCTGACAATTGCACTTACTAAGGTCTGTCCCAGAGGGTTCTGTTTTTATTTCTTTTTTAGTGTTTATATCCTCACTCTTTGACTGTTCCTCCTGACTTTTATTTGTTGAGGATACATTTGTATTTATAACTGGAGTGCTGTAAGACAAAAAAATCACAAGGTAATAATAGAAAATATACAAAAGTTCTTATACAACAATTGAAAAACTTAAAACTACATGATTATACTGTAGATCCTTAAATATATTGGGGGAATTCATTCATTTTGCCTAAATCACCAATTGTGAAATAAAATTATTTGCTGTAATAAGAAATTACATCATTTCAACATGATGTAATATAAAACTAGTCATGATAGTTAGTTAATTTGAGTACTTTAACTGAGTTGATATTAAGTTTATCTGAGTACCTTAACTGAGCTGAAATCTAGTTTATTTGGGTACCTTAACTGAGCTGATATCTAGTTTATTTGGGTACCTTAACTGAACTGATATCTAGTTAATTTGAGTACCTTAACTGAGCTGATATCTAGTTTATTTGGGTGCCTTAACTGAGCTGATATCCAGTTTATTTGAGTAGCTTAACCGAGCTGATATCTAGTTTATTTGAGTACTTTGACCGAGCTGATATCTAGTTTATTTGAGTACCTTAACCGAGCTGATATCTAGTTTATTTGAGTACCTTAACCGAGCTGATATCTAGTTTATTTGAGTACTGTAACTGAGCTGATATCTAGTTAATTTGAGTACCTTAACTGAGCTGATATCTAGTTTATTTGAGTTTCTTAATTGAGCTGATATCTAGTTTATTTGAGTACCTTAACTGAGCTGCTATCTAGTTTATTTGGTTACCTTAACTGAACTGATATCTAGTTTATTTGGTTACCTTAACTGAGCTGATATCTAGTTTATTTGAGTACCTTAACCGAGCTGATATCTAGTTTATTTGGTTACCTTAACTGAACTGATATCTAGTTAATTTGAGTACCTTAACTGAACTGATATCTAGTTTATTTGAGTACCTTAACTGAACTGATATCTACTTTATTTGAGTACCTTAACTGAGCTGCTACTGTGTTGTACTGATTGATCATCACCATGGCTCCATCCATTAAGGCCTGGATATCCCTCAACTACTGAATCCTGGCCTCCACGTTCTCTCTCTCTTGTCCCTCAATCTTCCTCAGATCCTCAGTTGACAGCTCAGAGAGATTGCTGGGAGGACGAGGCATGCCTGAAAATAGGATAAAAGGCAGTCTTAAAAAAAGGCTCAATAGACCACAATGCTTGTCCAAGTAACCATTCTTTCTCTGACAAAAGACTATGTAAATACTGATTAATAAATAGAAATCTTTTGTTAACTACATTATTTCAACATGTTAGAGTATGAAGATGTCAGCTTTATAATTTCAGGGCCTCCTTGTCTTGGTCTTGTAAATGTCAAAATAGGCATTCAAGTTACACTGCAGTTTTGATCAACAGATTTTTCCTCAACTCATTTGTTTTGAAAAAAACCCATAGACTTTTCACAATTTCGGTAGAGAGTCTAATGCTTCTTACAATAATATCAACAGTTTAAGTGCTTGATGTCCACAAGGGTGAAACTCTAAAATAACTAAAAGTGTAGATATATCTGTGTCTTTTATTTATATTTGCAGTTTCCAAAAAAAAAAATAGTGTCATAAGAAAGGGGTATAAAATACTTTGCTTGACTGAAGTGTTAGAATTTTGAAAATATCTGGTGAAAAGGTAGGGTTTCAATAAGGCTAATATTTTGCCCATGATGAATTTCAAATTAATTCCTTTAGTTATGTCTAGAAATGTTTCCTCTCTCATATTTTATAATTTATTTGCAAAACCAACCTATACTAGTCACGTGACCAAGGGATATCTAAAGGGTCCCTCTAAAAGCGTCTAGAGGATTATGAAGATTTATTACTTTAAAAGACTATTCATTGTGAAAAACTAAAGAAAGATTAACCATATATCATCAGGGAACATGGAACAGGGCTGAAGTAACACAAAAAGTTAACTAATTTAATATTTTTTTGGAAAAAGAACTTCTGTAATTGTAGCCATAGCAATTCAATGGAAATTGTGTACGTTTTCTTATTAGACATCTTTGCTTCCTAAAATAACATAAAAAAGGTATGAAAAACAATCAGTTATAAATAAAGAAAAGCTTTCAATATTAAGATATATCATATAATGAGACAAATCATTTAAAATATAACTGTGCTTGCGACCCATACATATTCTTACAAGTATAAACTAGAAAAAAGACCTCTACGCATTATAAGTAAGTACATCGATTTAATAGTATTTCGTTTAGATTGACACAAAGGCAGTGTAAAAAAATGTCTTGTCAATAAATTGTATTCAATACTAAAAATATTTTTTTGCGATAAAAAAGAACTGATTCTGTAAGTGTTCACTGAACACAGGCATTAAACATAATTTATACCGGTATGTACTTATTTTATTTATGCAAAATCTGAGATGTGTCTTTTATCAAAATTCTTTTTTTTTTTTTTTTTTTTTTTTTTTTTTTTAACAATTTTATTTTCCCAGACCTAATCTATAACAACATATAAACTAGCATTACTAGAAAAAAAATAAGGCAACTGCCAGGGATGGGGCCCTGACTAAGCTCCTTCTAAACAATGATATTGTTGTCCCTATGACATCACGCAGGATGTTATAAATTATATAGAAAAAAATTAAAGTACAATTATTTTCAAAAAATATATTTATACAGTATACATTATGAAATAAGATAGATATAATTTCAGTGTAGCTATCGACCGAGGGAGCCACAAATACGTTTCACAGTCCATTTACTCCCCCCTTTTTGACAGCACTACGGGAAGACGGGTCCCTTCCCAGTAGTATTTATACAAGAATATATAATTTTCACATTAGTTTTGAAAGATTTTCAAAAATCCTTAGCTCAGTGTTAACAAATAGAAAGCGTAATACAGAAGTGTAGAAACAAATTGATTTTTTTACATGATTGTATAAATTAAATTCAGTTTCACTTAAAGACTCTAATCTACATAACATTTTATGTTTATAAATTCTATATGCCACATACGTAATAAGTAAATTAAGAGATCTAGTTTTATCATTTTTTTCATGGAAAAACCCAACAACAATATGTTTCCACTGAATTTTAAATGATAAAAAACTGCTTATAGTACTCCATATATTAGACACATTATCACATTCAAAAATCAGATGTTTTGCATTCTCTATTTTGTTACAATGTATACACATAGGAGAACTATCTTTTTTCCACTTACTCACATAAGCATTGTTACATAACATATTATTCAATAGTTTGTAGCTAAATTCTGCTATGTGTTTATCTCTTATATCTAAAATCTTACATTCATAAATATTTTTCCAACTTGACTCCTCAAATATTCCAAAATCTTTAGATAATATGGCTTGAAAACTGGGTTTACAAAACTTTTTTTCAATAAGATTTTTGTAGAAAAAATTACTTGATTTTCCTGATATGTTGAAGTTCCCTAAAGGGAAGTTGAAGTTAATTACATTTTGTTTATTTATGTTGCTTGCATTTGAAAAATTGTGTGTTCTTCGAATATTCTTAGTAGCTGACAGAAGAATTCTGTACTCACATAGCCAATTAGATTTGTCAGTTATATTGGAAAAATGTTCAAGTGGTCTGATGCAACCCTTGTCATCAAACAATTCATATATATATAAAATTCCAGATTTAATCCAATTGTCAAAGAAAATAGCTTTTCCTTTATAGACCAAATTGCGATTATTCCAGATTGGCTGTTGCAAAATATCATCAGAAGATCTTTTATCAAAGTTTAATTCAGTTTTACATTCATTAAAACAACTTAGAACTTCTTTGTAAAATAAAGGAACATGTATATTTTTTAAGCTATCTACACCTATTGATGAAAGCTTTAAAAGATAATAGATATCAACATTAAGTTTTTTACAAAAATCATTTAAAATATCGAACAGTAAACCTTTTGAATTTAGTAATCGTGGAATCCACGCTGCTTTCAATGATTTTAGTTTACATTCAACATCGACAATAGAAAGTCCGCCTCGTGATATGTCACCAATCAGTGTGTTCCGTTTAATTCTCTCCGTTTTTTCCCAAATGAAATTAAAAATTAATCTTTGAATTTTCTTAATATAGTTCTCATCGGGAAGACATAAAATTGACGATGCATATATCAATTTTGAAATAGCCAGTGTCCGAATAATACACGCTTTGCCAAAAAGAGTTAGTTTTCTACGTTTCCAGGATTCAAAGAGTTTTTCCATATCATGATATATTCTCATCCAGTTTTTATTGTAACATTCCTCTTTATCATGACCTAAGTAGATACCTAAACATTTAACTTCTTTGTTTGTAACTTTAATTCCACAATGCATATCAAACGCATTTTTCATATTCCCAAGCAAAATGCATTCTGTTTTAGTTATATTAATTTTAGATCCAGCGCATTTGCAAAATGCGTTCACAACATCTAATGTATTCTTCATGGATAATTCGTCATTTAATGCTACTGTTAAGTCATCTGCATGCTGTATATTTTTAACCTCTCTATAATTTATTGAGATACCTTTAATGTTATGGTTATTTTGTATTTTTATTGCTAATATTTCGGCAACAAAGAGGAAAAGAATTGCAGATAGGGGACATCCTTGCCTAATTCCTCTTGTCATTGAACACGTCTTTGAAATCCATCCATTGTTTTTCATTTTAAAAACCGGGTTTGTATAGAGAATGGTTGTCCATTTAATAAAGTTATTACCCATATTGAATTTCTTTAATACTTTAAAAAGAAAGTTCCATTCAACAGAATCGAAAGCTTTTTCGAAATCTAAAAATAATAAAATTCCTCCTTGGTTCTTAGATTCACAATATTCAAAAATGTCTAATATCAGTCTAGCGTTTTCACCAATGTATCGTCCTTTTATATATGCAGTTTGGTTTTTATTTATTAATTCAAATAAAACTTTTTGTAATCGTCTTGCAAATACAAACGCTATGATTTTATAATCAGTGTTTGTCAAACTTATTGGACGGTAATTTTTTAAAAGTTTTTTATCTCCCTTTTTAAAAACTAGTGATATTATTGATTGTCGTTGTGTGTATGACATTATCTCCCGATCATATATTTCTTTTAGAGCATCATAGAAAAAGGGGCCGATTTGCGCCCAGAAACATTTATAGAATTCATTAGGTAATCCATCAAGACCTGGTGATTTATCGTGTTTCATATCGTTAACAGCTTCAGTACATTCCTCTAAAGTAGGGAATTTTTCTAGGTCTTTTATCAAAATTCATTTTATATACATTCATTTAAATTCTAAAGATATATACTTTGATTCCATGTCTTATCTTAATTTTTTTTCAAAATGATTTTGTAATCGCATGTACATGTGCCCCTTTGAACTTGCACAAATCACCTTTGATCAAGGTGTAAAGTATTAATTCAAATGTTCTTCCGTAAAAAAAGATATGAACAGGACATGTTTGCACAGACAGATGGACGAGGTGATTCCTATACATACCCCCAAACTTTGTTTGTGGCGGGTATAATGATAAGACCACTTGTTATATGGGCAATAGATTTAGGACAGACCAAGGCACAAACTGCACCATCAACATCTTGTAAAATTAATATTCACATTAAGTTAAATTAATAATTAAGTTGAAAGGAGCTGGTTACTAAACAGAAAAAAATGTATATTTAATCTGTGAAACGACAACATACCCAAATCAAGAAACTTTGACCTTGATTTGCATTAAATATTTAATATTGTTTACTGTGAAACAATAAGTCTGACCTTGGTCTTTATATATTGAAACTACTGTCTCTAGTGTCAAATTTTTTGGTTTTCCTCACAAACAGACACACAGGCATGTTATAATATAATCAATAATTTTTCTTTCATGTTTGATTTCGTCGTATGATTTTAATACAGGTATAAAAGGACAAACCAGTACTAAATAGTAAAACCCCACTCTGTTTGACTCTAATGAATCAATCTCACAATAACATGGCATACCTAAACGAAGAGTGTACTAAAATTTCAAGAATCTGCAATGAGTATTCGCTGAGAAACCGTGATAGAAATTGGTACATACAGACACACAGATAAACAGAAAGTTGATGTTGTATTCATACAAAAATAATTGTCTCCTTTTGACCTGCAAAAAAGCCCCAATCATCTACTATGAGTAGTTGCCGAAAATATGTGAAGAAAATTTGTTACAGACAGACACACAGACAGCTTGACAGAAACACAAGGGTGAAAAAGTATACCCCAGAGCTAGGTTCCAATTCCTAGTAATCTGTTTGATTGACTGGACAATGTTATAAATGTGTATGATTCACTTTAAGTGTTTAAATAAAATTAACCACAACTCAACAGATTGCAAAATTTGCAAAGTCATTAGTATTTAAGTGTGTATTGCATTGTGAACCACAACCATATTTCAGTATTATCTTTCTGTACATATAAGTAATTAATTATCAAATTATGGTTTTGGTTCAGAATGCAACACGTGGTGTACTAGAAGGTTAAACATCATAACCCTCCAACATTTTCCCATATACTCAATGTTAAAGCGGTTGAGGGTACCATACTTTGATCATTTATTCCAATATTATCCTAACTTTTTTCTCCCAAAATAAATACATAGCACAAAATTAGACATGTTGAAAATAATGAAAGTAAGTTTAAAATTGTTGGCAATCTTATTTCATTTTTCACAAAAAACATGGGCCAAAAAAACAGCCTTGTTAAAACCTCTCCTTTTGCATGTTCAATTCATCAACATTTTGTATTGAAAGTTGTAAAAAAAATAAAGATAAAAACAATTAACAACAACAATAACAAAAAAACTTTCAAGTCCTGAAATCTAAGACAGAATTGGCAGTGCAGTGAGGTTCAGACTACTGAAATATTACGTTTAGAATGAATGCATAAATAATCTATGCAGAACTTAGTGGCTTTTAAAATATTTAAATCCCCACTACAGAGCAGGAAGTAAAAACACCTGACAGGTAGATAACACAGGTAACTAAGTGGGTCATGTGATCAGAGAGCATACTAAATATCAACAGACAGGACAGCGGCCATTTCTGAAATCAGGTAAAAAAAACATTAGAGAGCATTTTGTAAATTTACAAATTGTTTTTATAATCTGGGAACATACATACTGTAAGCTAAGTTTAACTATGAATAATTCCAATCTTCATTTTATCTATTGATTTCCTGTGTTTTGATTGGACGAGAACACGTTCCAGAAAATTTTTACACATCAATCAGAACTACTTTCTTGATGACACTACTAGGTTATCGTATAAACAATGAAAGCAGTTATTTCTGGGTCTGTTCTGGCTAAATAACGAATACAAGAAACTTTAACTAATTAGGGCTTAAACAAAACTGGCAAGATACTAGACTGCCCAACTGATGGACGCCGTGAAAATGTTTATGTCACTGTCCGATCACGAGTGTGAATTTTAAAAATCGCTGTCTCAACGTTCATACGTAGAAAATAAGCTCAGTCTGTATCGTTTTGACAGGGAAAAGAAACGTACCTCAAACTCTTGCCCTATTAGCATCAAATTCATATTTACTTTCTATATTGTTCCTCAATATTTGAATAAACAAGTGCAAATTGAAGGCGTCGTCGGTCTACTATGAGAGTTGTTGTTTATGTCAACATGGCCATGGTCAAAGACGAACTATTCTGAAGTAAACTCGTAATTACGATATTTGTTGACTTAAACAACATTCGATTAGTTGTTATAAGTTTATTTAACGATTGTTTTGACAATTTAAGTTGAACTCTATCGAAATTCATCTCGATTACGTTCCTTTACGGTAAAATGTATTCCTACGCCGTCCAGAAATAACGGATTGTATGGAGGCCTGAAAGAGAAATAATTTAAATATTTTTAAAAATTCGATATTGGAATTATAAGAATTAAACGTTCTTTTTGAAAAATTTATCGATGTGTAAACTCTTGACATTTTACTCACAAACTTAACATAAAAGTGCTTCGCACTTTTATTTAGTTTGTGAGTAAAATGTCAAGAGTTTACACATCGATAAATTTTTCAAAAAGAACGTTTAATCCTATAATATAAATTGAAACTTGTATAAATTTAGCTGAATGACTTTACTATTGAAATGTGCATACATGTAGATGCAAATCGTGCTGTATAATAGTATCTGGCATACTTTTAAATTCAGTATGGTTATCTGGTTAAACATAATTTTTGTTTCCTTTAAACCCATTCAATAAATATATAATCATTGATGTTGATTTTTTATGCTTTAGTCACTTAATCTAATCATGGACCCCCGTACCAGTGCCCAGGACGTGATTCGATGTGACCTGTGTGAGACCGCTGTGGTACAGATGCACTGTGATACATGTCTTGTCAACCTGTGTAAGGCCTGCGTGGGAGAACACATTTCAACAGGTGAAACCAAAGATCACAAAGTTGTCAAATTTCAGGAAAGGAAATCCACTCCCCTCTACCCTATATGTAAAACTCATAATAAAGAAGAATGTGAAATGTTCTGTAAACAATGTGATATTCCTGTCTGCATCAGCTGTGTTGCTCTTAATAGACATTTTGGTCATGAATTATCAAAAGTCTTACAAGTTCTGGACGAAAAAAAGAACAAGATTATAGAGGAAAGAAATGAATCAAATGAGACAATTTATCCCACCTACCAGGACATTGCCTCTGATGTACAAAACAGAATGAGTCAGTTAAAAAAGGAACATAAAGATCTTTCATCAGCCATAACAAAACATGGAGAGGACTGGCACAGAGAAATTGACAAACTTGTCCAGAAACTTAAAGCTGAAGTTGATGAGATGAAAAACACACAGTTACAAACTCTACAAAAACATCTGGATGAAATAAACAAGACAATGTCTGACATCAAGGAAGAAATAAATTCAGTGGAAACTACAACAGACACAAATGACTTGTCAAAACTATTTAGTGTCACGTCCAATGTACACATGTACAGAAATCTTCCAAACAAAATAATGCCATCTTTACCCAAATTCATTCCAGGAAAAATCCAAGGAGATCTGGAAGAATTAAGTAAATTATTTGGAGCGTTATCATCAAGTTCCTTATCATCAGATGAACATGGCTACAGCATGAAGACAACACAGAAATCACCAGAAGCTGGATCCTCTCCTCCGGTCAAACAGCTGCTTGATGAACCAGAGACTGTCACCACCATAGACACTGGGTGTAAAAACTCTCGCAATGTTGCCTGTCTGAGTGATGAAGAAATCTGGACAAGTGGACTTAACAGCACCATGATACTCTACAGCATCAATCAGGGAGACATCAAGTCAATCAAAACCAAGTCAAAGAAGACACCATCTGACATAGCAGTGACAAAAAGTGGAGATCTAGTTTATACTGATTATGATGATAGAACTGTGAATATTGTGAAGAATGAGAAGATAGAGGAGGTGACCAGACTACAGAACTGGAAACCTGAAGGTGTCTGTAGTACCTCCTCTGGTGACCTCCTGGTTATCATGGACAGTGATGATGACAAACAAACAAAAGTTGTCTGTTACTCTGGCTCCATAGAGAAACAAACCATTCAGTTTGATAATAAAGGTAGATCTCTCTATTTATCTAGTTCTCTTTATCCAAGATACATAACAGAGAACAGGAACCTGGATATCTGTGTGTCTGATGATAGAGCTGGAGCAGTAGTGGTGTTAAATCAGGCCGGGAAACTGAGATTCGAGTACACTGGACATATTCCTGCTGCAAAGAATGAACCATTCAGTCCAAAAGGAATCACCACAGACAGTCAGTGTCACATCCTTACATCTGATAATAACAATGACTGTGTCCACATCATAGACCAGGATGGACAGTTCCTACATTACATAAAATGTGGACTGAGGTATCCCTGGGGACTGTGTACAGATACAAATGACAATCTGTTTGTTGCTCAAAGTGTAAATGCACAAGTGAAGAGAATCAAATATCTGCAGTGATATGCATCACTGTATTGCATTCTAAACAATGATAATAAATATTAGAGGTATGCATTATCACTAATAGATATGGGGAAAGTATTCTGCACTATGATGGAAACATGCAATAAAATCTTCATTCTTTTATAAGAACAGTAAACATTACTACAAATCAAGACCAAAAATAAGAGATTATAACTGTAAACTCGCATCATTAGACTAGATTTTAATAATAAAGCGTGATGATTTTTTGTTCAATTTCTATGAGTCATCCTCTAAATCCTGTACTTGAATTATTTTCTAAAAGTCTGCTGCAGCTATTTTCCTTTCAAATAATATACAGGAAGATGAACATGTACATATAATTTTTTCATGCCCAATAAAGAAGATTAATAATTTTTGAAGTGAATTTTGAATAATTTAAAGGAACACATAAATTGAGATAATGAAAATAAAATAATTAATAAATAATGGGCACTTACACATTCTTATACAGTTACTGTATCTTGAGATCAGTTATTTTTCTTCTCTCCTTTTTTTCAGTAAAAATTGTAATACCAATTAATACTGTATATAGGGAAATTTTCGCGTTGCGTTGACTGATATATTTACCCAATTCATATTTTCCAATGGACTTTAAATACTGGTATAAAAAAAATATTCATGAAACATTCTACCTGGAAAATTAAAATATATAATTTATTAATTGCTTTAATGAAAAAAAAAAATAAAGAAAATAAATATATAAATATAACATACAACCCAGAGAATAAAAATAAATAAATCTAAAATAATAATTTATTTCTCATAATACATGTAGATTTACACTGTACATTCAAACGCTTTGCTTGTATATACAATGTTTGGATTTATATCGAATAACACATTCGATCTTTTATCCAAATCGACAGATCAATATGCCATTTTGATTGGTTGCAGCGCTATTTGGTTAATCACTAATCCTGATTGACAGCTTTGTAAAGAAATACAGAACGCGCATTCACTTTCTGGGACCACTACTGAATTTGGGGTTTGCTCTCTGGGTCTGCTTCAGGTTAGCTCAGGGTCCGCTAAGGGTGCGCTTTGGGTGAGCTTCGGGGTGGGCCCTAGCGGACCCTGAGCAAACCCGAAGCGGACCCACAGAGCAAACCCGTGGTGCGCTCCGGGTTCACTTTCTGTTAGGTTATGTCCAGTCGGTACTGTATACAGATGCCTGGTCACACGACTAGAGAAAGGGCCAGGCATTTCTGTATAAAAAAAAGTTAAAAAGCAAGAACAAAAACAGTTGCTGGCCATATTTGCTTAGAAAGATTTTTTCAGGACAAGGTATGCCTGTAACTATTTAAAAGCCGCAAACAAAACAGTTGCCTGGTCAATTTTGCTAAAACTTGATAAATACTCACCAAAAGGCATCATAAGAGGTGGAAACATCGGCATCATTGGTGGTGGCATTCCTGTAGGAAGACCACCCATTCCTGCTGACAAGCCTGAAGATGTGGACACTGATGGCTGAGTGAATGTGGAGGAAACCGTGGCGGTAGAGGTGGTGGCCTGTGGTGCCTGGGTACCACCTAAAGAAAGTGAAATATGATTGAACTTACTGGGTACCACCTACAGAAATAAAGTTTTTCTTGTGTTACTTGTGTTTTGTATTTCAACTTCCCTTAAGATCTGGTCTTAAAACTGAACTGTACATATTAGTAAATGAAAAAAATCTTTAAAAACTTTTCATAATATTGGAAGAATATTAGACTTAAAACCAAATGTTACAGTGCTTTCTTTGTTTGATAAGTATACAGTTCTAACCTGGTGGTGCTGGGTTGGGCTGCTGGGGAGGAACAGGGGGCTGTTGCCACATCTGAGGAGGAATACCCGGCATCAAGCCAGACCCCCAAACACTGGAAATTTGAGAAAGTTGAGATTTAATGCAAAACAAAATTGGAAACAAGATGTGTTTGTGAAACACTATGCGCCCGGCGGCAACAAAGTTCAAAAAATCTATTTTTAGCATATTGGTCACAGTCAAGGTCACAAGGTCATTGACCATAGTTTCATTTGAAAGCACTTAATCGGTGGAGTATGCATCCCAAATATGAAGTCCCTGTCTCCTATGGTTCAAAAGTAATGGCAAAAAGTGTAAAAAGCTATTTTTAGCATATAGGTCACAGTCAAGGTCACAAGATCATTGACCTTGTCGTCCTTTGAAAGGACTTTATTAGTGGAGTATGCATACCAAATATGAAGTCCCTATCTCCTATTGTTAAAAAGTTATGACAAACAGTGGAAAAAGCTATTTTTAGCATATAGGTCACAGTAAAGGTCACAAGGTCATTGAACTTGATGTCATTTGAAAGGACTTTATTAGAGGAGTAAGCATACTAAATATGAAGTCTCTATCTCTTACGGTTTAAAAGTTTTTGCGAAGGTTAAAGTTGACAACAGACAGACAGACAAACAGACAAACAGATAAACAGACAAACAGACAGGACAAAAACAATATGCGCCCCGAAAAAATTCGGGCGCATAAAAATCATGACATTTCTACCGGTATTTGACAATTTCTTTTAAAAATAAATAGTCATTTGACTCATATCAGCAAGAGTTATCTCTCATGTCTGAGAGTCAATGAACCTTAAATTTACTACTGTAAATCATTTTTTATTTGCAGAAACTTAAATTTCATTTAATTCAACTGTCTGCTGACAGAAATTTTATCTCTTGCATATGTTATTTAATCAAAATTACGTAAAACAATGGATATATGTTCAGTCTAGCTAAAAAATACCTTTTGATTATCTCACAAAAATTTAATAATCTACGGAATATAATATTTTACACATGTCACATACTGTTTTGAGAGGGCTGTGGTTGGGCGGGCTGAGGAGGGGGCGTGGCCTGTGTTGGGATGGGCGTCGTCCTTAGTACATCCCGCCTACACGTGGGACAGGTCTGTTGTCTCTGGAACCACGACCGCAGACAACTGGTGTGGAAGATGTGGTTACATGGTAACTTCTTAGCAGCTGTTGTCATGGTTTCCCGACAGATGATACAGACATCGTCCACTTGAAGCTCTTCCTCTGTGGCATCAGGATAACTATAAATAAAGCAAAGTGGTTCATCTTGAGGTAATTTGATTTCATAAGCTATAATGCCATCAAAATAAACCGGTTTGATGCAAGTTTGGCCCACACATACACTATGTGTGTTCATGTTCAAAAGACATCACCTCAATCTTTAACTAAAGATTCACAAAATACTGTCATAACTTAGACCACAAACATAATAGATTAAACCCCTTACTAGGTGTTCATGTTTCTGATAGCTCTTCTGGACATGATGACATCATGTAAGGCTTTCTTGAATCCCCTGAAATAAAATGTAAAGCCATGAACTCAAAAGAAAATTGTATTGATATAAGGACATCAATGTCAGAATTAAATGTAGTTGAAAAGCATTTTATCCTTTACCTCATGGAGAGATACATAGGTCTGATGGCAAACAGTGGGAATGTGTGAACTTTGATCATGATGACCATGAAGGCCATGTATAACACAACCTTCACTGCACCTGTTATGGCATTATAATCTAATGAACTACCGTACAAATCACACAGGCATGCTTCAAAATCTCATTAGTTTCTAATTTGTTCAAATGACACATGCATTTGCGCAAAGAAATATTTCCTAGATGTTGTGAACAATAAGTATTTATGTATTTATCTACATACAAGTGTGAACAATAAGTATTTATGTATTTATCTACATACAAGTGTACAGAAGGTACCGGGTATTTGCCTACCACATACACTAAGCACATTAAGTACAGTTATTACCTAGGAATAGCTCTGTGTACAGTAGATATACAGCCTTGTTTTCCCATGGGTTCTCGTTCTGTAAGTCTATAGTGTGGAGGATGTACTTCATGAATGTCATAGCCACTATGGTCATTAAAATGGCGTACTGAAAAGAAGAAAGAATAAAGCATTTCATCTTTTAGCTCACCTGAGCCGAAGGCTCAAGTGAGCTTTTCTGATCACATTTTGTCCGGCGTCCGTCTGTCCGTCTGTCTGTCTGTAAATTTTTCACATTTTCGACTTCTTCTCAAGAACCGCTGGGCCAATTTCAAGCAAACTTGCCACAAAGCATCCTTGGGTGAAGGGATTCAAGTTTATTCAAATGAAGGGCCACGCCTCATTCAAGGGGAGATAATTGGGAATTAATGAAAATTTAGTGGTATATTTTAAAAATCTTCTTCTCCAGAACCACTGTGCCAGGAAAGATGAAACTTATGGGGAAACATCTTCAGGTAGTGTAGATTCAAATTTGTTCAAATCATGACCCCCCGGGGTAGGGCGGGGCCAAAATGGCCGACCAAAGTTTTACATAGAAATATATAGGAAAATTCTTTAAAAATTTTCTTCTCAAGAATGACAAAGCCATAATTCATCATATTTATATGAAAACATGCTCAGGTAGTGTAGATTCATGTTTGTTCAAATCATGACCCCCGGGGGTAGGGCGGGGCCAAAATGGCCGACCAAAGTTTTACATAGAAATATATAGGAAAATTCTTTAAAAATCTTCTTCTCAAGAATGACAAAGCCATAATTCATCATATTTATATGGAAGCATGTTCAGGTAGTGTAGATTCAATTTTGTTCAAATCATGACCCCCGGCGGTAGAGCGGGGCCGAAATGGCCGACCAAAGTTTTACATAGAAATATATAGGAAAATTCTTTAAAAATCTTCTTCTCAAGAATGACAAAGCCATAATTCATCATATTTATATGGAAGCATGTTCAGGTAGTGTAGATTCAATTTTGTTCAAATCATGACCCCCGGGGGTAGAGCGGGGCCAAAATGGCCGACCAAAGTTTTACATAGAAATATATAGGAAAATTCTTTAAAAATCTTCTTCTCAATAATGACAAAGCCATAATTCATCATATAGATATATGGAAGCATGTTCAGGTAGTGTAGATTCAATTTTGTTCAAATCATGACCCCCGGGGGTAGGGCGTGGCCAAAATGGCCGACCAAAGTTTTACATAGAAATATATAGGAAAATTCTTTAAAAATCTTCTTCTCAAGAATGACAAAGCCATAATTCATCATATATATATGGAAGCATGCTCAGGTAGTGTAGATTCAAGTTTGTTCCAATCATGACCCCCGGGGGTAGGGCGTGGCCAAAATGGCCGACCAAAGTTTTACATAGAAATATATAGGAAGATTCTTTAAAAATCTTCTT